CTGACCGATTTCCTAGAAGAGTTCTCTTTACTTTCTGGCATCCATAGGATAACATCTTGCTTTTATCATCGTCAGCCAAAAAGCAGACACAGGAAAACATCCACCCTTTATGTCTCTCCTCATTGTGTCTATGTGGTAAAATAGCACCAGGAAAATGATCTGTGAAGGAAGTTGAGGGGGAGGAAAACCTTTCCTCTACCCTCAAGGTTCTTCTGGCTGGTTTCATAATCAAACAGACATGAGGCGGATTAGCAGGAGAAAATAACCAAATTTAATTACATACATATGTATGGGAATGCTGCATACATGCGAGTCAGAGGTAGAAACGGAAATTGAGGTCTATAGGACTTTCTGAGCTAGGGGTGAGGTAAGGTACCTTGGGGCTTCAGAAGGCAACTGCAGGGAGAGAGCATGCTCAGTAATAAGCAGTTTGCCCTGCCATATAGGTGGGTAAAAAGTTATTTCTGGTGATAACTCATATAATGGGCCAAACTCCTAATTTAATTTTTTCTAGGTAGTTAAGGGGAGGAGTTTCTCTAGGACCCTTAGAGTCTTGGTCTCCTTTAGCTCACAATAATCTGCAAACCCCTGCGGCACATCTTGGGGGACTCATTCTGCATCGCTGTAAAGTCCTCGGGGGTCACAAGGCTGCCATGTCTGGAGCATTAGGGACTAGGTTTCCACACTGAATTGGAATTAAAATCCTTAGTGGGCAGGCAGCTTGAGGACTGTAGTAGACATGCAGCAGTAACAAGTAGCAGTCATAAGGTGAGTGGGGAAGCTAGTTTGGGGTAGTACCCCTTAAAGCATACAACGGGGAAGGTATACTCCTCAAGTAAAATTCAGACAATGAAGACCTTAGCTTCATTCTAAAGCATATAACCCATGTTGGTATACACATCCCCATGTGAGAATAAGATCATAGAATCCTATTACAACTTTGTAAGCTTTTAAAGGCACATTCCCTAGATAGATTAGATAAAGGGATATACAATTTTTTTTGATTTTGTAAAAAAAAAATTTAAGCAATTCTTTTTAAAAAATATTTTTTAAATTGATTTCAGAGAGGAAGGGAGAGGGAGAGAGAGCTAGAAACATCAGTGATGAGAGAGAATCATTGATTAGCTGCCTCCTGCACACCCCCTACTGGGGATCAAGCCTGCAACCGCATGTGCCCTTGGCCGGAATCAAACCTGGGACCCTTCAGTCCACAGGCGGATGCTCTATCCACTGAGCCAAACCAGCTAGGGCTAAGCAATTCTTACAGAAATAACTTATTATATCTCTGAAGAATTATACTCAGTGCTAGCTGCTGGGTCTCAAGAAGGACATGGACAAACTAGGATGGTTTCCAGACCCTTTGCATACATCCCAGTCTGTCAGTGTCCTATGAGCCCTGGTTAAAAGAATGAGGCATATGAAATTACGTCCAGAAAGCAGAAGAAAAAGCTGGGTCCCTTTCCTCTTGGGAGATACTTCCCCAGACTACAAGAAGCTGGCTTGTCCGCCCCTTACTCCCACTCCTCCTTAATCTGTCACCTCAGGCTCTTTCTAAAGTAGGTTAATAGAGCACCAAAGGAAGGGACGCTGGTATTTCCTGGGGTCTTTCCTTCTGTGGGGAAGCAGTCATTCCCATCTAACAAAAGGGAAACACTAAGAAAGCAGCATGCATGGTCAAGGTGCCAAGGACAATCTTCTGCTACTTGAGCAGTTCTGGCATCTATTCCCCCACGCCCTTGACTCAGTATCCCCATGCTGTCCTCTGTCACTCTAAATCCCCTTCTGGGGTGCCTCACTCAATCTGTCTCTCGAGTGTTTCATTCTCCAAATCACTTATTTCTCCAATCTGAATATCAGAGACCAATCGCTAAAAGATACATGCTAATCAACACATCGAATATAAATAAAATGAAGAATGACAAGCAGAGATGTGAAGCAATGTAATAATAGTCTTATCCAAATGTGAGAATTTGACCCAATTCTCCTTGTGATTGAGGATTTTAAGATCATGTGGAAACTGAGGACATAAGTGAACCTATAATAGTGATTCGTGCATGGGTGGGGTCCCTGGGCCTGGCCTGCAGGGATAAGGCTGAAACTGGCTCTCTGACATCCCCCAAGGGGTCCCAGATTGTGAGAGAGCACAGGCCAGGCCAAGGGACCCCACCAGTGCACGATCAGGACCAGGGAGGGACTGTGGGAGGGCTCCAGGGCGTGTCTGGCCTGTCTCTCCCAATCCCAATCAGCCAGACCCCAGCAGCAACCTAACCTACAGGTCGGCGCATCTGCCCCCTGGTGGTCAGTGCGCATCATAGTGACTGGTCAAACAGTCAAACGTGGGACACTTAGCATATTAGGTTTTTATTATCTAGGATAATTGTATATAATAAAGACTGATTAGAATGTTAAGTTTCTTGAGGGGTAAGAGCTACATCTGTTTTTGTTTCATTGGTATATATGTACCCCCAAGTACCTAGGAAAATGCCTGCCATGTAATGTTGCAAATATTTATTTGTTTTCATGATTAGCTGGATAAACTGCTGATTTAATTTCAATTCAGTGGTTTGTGTTCATAAATTACTTTGATTTGATTTGATTATGGATTATTGCCTTCTTATTTGCTCCTTCATCTAATCGGGTGGGGAACATCCAGCCTGTGGGCCTTATAAGGCCTGCGAAATCATTTGGTCTGGCCCTGCCAAGGCATTAGGGGTGAGTTGATTAAATGTCTGACCAAATATAGCAGGCTAGTTTTTAAGCTGATAATTTTATATGGCCTGAGAATGATGTTATAAATATCTAAATGGCCATTGGCAGAAAAAAGGTTCCCAACCCCTAATCTAAATATTCAATTCTTTTTCATTTATTTTTTGGAATCTCCCACTTTTTCATGTCCCACCAGGGTCCTGAAGCTGTAAAGTACCTTGGATATGTGTGGGGGGAAGAGATTTAGAATACCTTTATTTGACCAGCTTCTTTCACTAGAGCTAAGCAGTATTTTTAACCACACTCTCTGCCCTGTTTCATCGGGTTTAAATAGCTTTAGCTCAGCCTGTGATCATTGTGTCCAAGCACATGTTTCTACTTCTTTTACACGCATTTTATTTCTGCTTCTCCATCTCCTTTACTGTTACCTCCTCTTCTAAATGTTGGTGCACCCTCGGTCCAAGTTCTAGTCCTACTCCTCCTTTTTATCTCTTCTGTCTCCCTAAGTGATCTCATTCATTCCCATTGCTTTAAATACCAAACACATGCCCCTGAATCCCAGATACATACCTCCATCCTTGATCTACCTTTTTAAGCTGCAAATCTCTATACTCAGTCTCCTACTTGGGTAAAACAAGCAAGACATTTTCATAAGTCTAAAATGGAACTTCTGATTTCCACTGCTCCTCCTCAATCTCTACTCAACCAACTACTCAAACCATTGAGCAATCTTGGGCTCTGATCCACTTCCTTACCCTCTAGTTCCAGTTCATGAGCATGTGTAGTCATTTTTATAACCTCCAAATTAACTCTTGAATGTACTTGCCTTCAGTTTCACTCCTCACACCCAAGTTGAAGCTAGCATCATCTCTTGTCAGGACTAAGGTAACGCATTGCTCCCTGCTACCCATCTTTGCCCTGGAAGTATTCGTCTGCACACAGCAGCAAGAAACTCAGTGACAGTGCCCTCTTAGCAGTCAGTAGGCATTGACTCCATATACTTGGGATACAATAACAAGTTGTCACTGTGACCTGCCAGGCCTACTTGAAGTGTCCCCTCTGTACTTATGCCCGTCACGGATGCCCTCTCCACCTACCTCTTCAAGCTTATGCTGTGCCCCTCACATGATGTGCTGGCTGTCTGACAAGTTTGAAACATGATCTCAGGCCTTGGAAACTGCTGTTTCCTGTGCCTGCAATGTTTTTTCCTCAACTACTTTTTGTTTGTTTTGTTTCTGTTTTGACAAGTTACAGACATCTGTATACCTACCACCAAAATTAATATTAACATTTTGCCATTTTCCTCAGATTTTTAAAAAAGATATACTTTTATATATATTTTTTATTTATTTAAGAGAGGAAGGGAAAGGGAGAGAGAGATAGAGACATCAATGAGCAGAGAATCATTGATCGGCTGCCTCCTGCATGCCCCATACTGGGGATCGGGCCCACAACCCAGGCATGTACCCTGACCGGGAATTGAACTGTTCATAGGTCAACACTCAGCCACTGAGCCACGCCGGCCAGACTTCCTCAGATTTTAACATTATAATAATAGAAAAATGGAAGTAACGATTGAGCTTTCTTCCTTATGTTCCATCCTTTCCTCCTTACTCAGAGCCAGTAATGGATATGGTTGGTTTCCTGCCCTGCATCCGTGTCTCCCTCCCTTCTTTCTGACACAGCCTTGACTTCTTTAAGGCACTCACACCTCCTCCAATCCCTCCCCACACCTTCATGTGCTTCAGCAAAAGCCAATGGTGGCCCAACTGTGGCCAAGAGACAGAAGAATGGTTTCCTGGGAGCTGTGCTCATTCTCCCCAGGGTACACAGTGGGAAGCTGGTAGCACTTCTTCAGGCTCCTACCCTCTTTATCCTGCCCTCAAGCATTTGTCTTTAGAGAACCAGGGTGGAACCAGAGGAGCCAGGCTATATAAATTTCTGATCCAACACCAAGGCAGGAGCTAAAGGTACTCTTGTTTGTTCAGTCTTCATCATGTCATCTGCTTGTCTTGCATAACTGTTGGCTCAAAACTTAGAGCAACATAAACATCACAAATAGAAGGAACTGACTTCCTAAATGTCTCCACCCTTCTCCCAAAACAGAAAGAGGATTCTTTCTCTTATAGCTAACCATTTTTTTGGTTAGCATATTATCTTACTATATTCTACTTATGTGTGTGTTTGTACTCAGTGCTATGAAAAACGTACACAAGGTTAAGTCCCCATTCAGACATAAAGTGTTTAAAATGACAATCAGAACTGACCTCTCTGTTTCTCCTCTCTGCTTGCAGGGTGCGGCATGTTTACTCTCCTGTCATCGGTCACGGCAGCTGTCAGCGGCCTCCTGGTGGGTTATGAACTTGGGATCATCTCCGGGGCTCTTCTTCAGCTAAGAACCTTATTAGTCCTGACCTGCCAGGAGCAGGAAATGGTTGTGAGCTCCCTCCTCATCGGGGCCTTACTCACCTCTCTCACGGGAGGGGTCCTCATTGACAGGTATGGAAGAAGGGCTGCCATCATCTTGTCGTCCTGCCTACTTGGACTTGGAAGCCTAGTCTTGATACTCAGTTTATCATACACGGTTCTTATAGTGGGACGCATTGCTATAGGGGTTTCCATTGCACTCTCTTCAATTGCCACTTGTGTTTATATCGCCGAGATTGCCCCACAGCACAGACGGGGTCTTCTGGTGTCACTGAATGAGCTGATGATTGTCATTGGCATTCTTTTGGCCTACATTTCAAATTATGCATTTGCCAATGTTTCCCATGGCTGGAAGTACATGTTCGGCCTTGTTATTCCCTTGGGAGTTTTGCAAGCGATTGGAATGTATTTTCTTCCTCCAAGTCCCCGGTTTCTGGTGATGAAAGGACAGGAGGAAGCTGCTGGCAAGGTTCTTCAAAAGTTGAGAGCCCTCTCAGATACCATGGAGGAACTCACTCTGATAAAATCTTCCCTGAAAGATGAATATCAGTATAGTTTTTGGGATCTGTTTCGTTCGAAGGACAACATGAGGACCAGAATAATGATAGGCCTAACACTGGTATTTTTTGTACAAATTACTGGCCAACCAAACATATTATTCTATGCATCAACTGTTTTGAAATCTGTTGGCTTCCAAAGCAATGAGGCAGCTAGCCTAGCCTCCACAGGCGTTGGGGTTGTCAAGGTCATCAGCACCATCCCAGCCACGCTTCTTGTAGACCATGTCGGGGCCAAAACCTTCCTCTGTGTTGGCTCTTCTGTGATGGCAGCCTCATTGGTGACCATGGGCATTGTGAATCTCAACATCCACATGAACTTCACCCATATCTGCAGAAGCCATAGTCTTATCAACCAGTCCTTGGATGAGTTGGTGTTTTATGGATCAAGAAACTTGTCAGCCAGCAATGAAACTCTTAGAGAGCCCTTTAAGGGGATCACTTCTCACAGCAGAAGCTCATTAATGCCCAGGAGAAATGATGTGGATAAGAGAGGGGAGATGACCTCAGCATCCTCACTAAGTGCTGGACTGAGCCAAACTGAATACCAGATAGTCACAGACCCTGCGGAAGTCCCACCATTTTTGAAATGGCTATCCTTGGCCAGCTTACTTGTTTATGTTGCTGCTTTTTCAATTGGTCTAGGACCAAGTAAGTATTTTATTTTTTATTCCTCCTCCTCACCCCTTATAAATGCTAGTGAATTGCTTTTGACCAATGAGAGCATCCCACTGCTATAGTATCTCATACACAGACCTACTAGAAGCAGGACATGGATAATATCAGAAGAAAGTATGCCTGGCTTATACCTGCTTAGTGAAATGTGCAGGGCCAGTATCCACCCAAAGGGAAGTTTGCAATTATATGTCCCACAAGGATACTTTAACATCAATTGATTGGAGGTGAACCAGACTTTGAAAGATATTTATTGTCCAAGAGAATATATTGTTTTATGAAAGCAAAGTTTACTGAGATAACATTTTTTTAAATATCATTCCTGAGTTTTTTCATAGGTGAGAGGGGGAAAGTATCAAGATTTTCTTAAAGACACTCTAGTGGGTGCATTCCAGTAATAATGAAGAAGAAGGGAATTATGAGATGGGAAGGAGAATGCATTATTTCTTTAAGCTATTTTATCACTAGAATAACCTCCCAGGGTACTTTACTCCCCCCCATGAAACAGAGAATGGGAGTCAAGTTACTCTTATTAAACAGAATACAAACAATTTACAGGGAGATAGCTACAGGATGTTTTGTTTTCTATAGCCAGTCTACTCCAATGACAAATTTTAAATCCTTCTCCGGAGCAAAGTCTCTCAGGTTTGCTAGAATAGGCTGTTTGTTGAAGTTCCCTAGTCTTTTAGCCTCAGCCTGAAAGTCTAAACCTCTCTGTCAAGAAGTTGTAAAAGGTCTTTTGTACATCTCCCTAGAAAATAAAGTGCTTACTCTATCATCCTCAACTCCCACTCCTCTCTCCTCTCTCTCTCTCTCTCTCTCTCTCTCTCTCTCTCTCTCTCTCACACACACACACACACACACACACACTTGGTATTAAAACCTTTGTTAATAAGGATCAAGGTCCAAACAAACTTGCTCAAATAAATAGAGGAGAGTACAGTGCCCAATCTAGTCAATGACCAAATGCTCTTGGATTTTGCCTCATAGATGGCTCCAGTGTTTATCTTTTCCTTCCCATTTCTGCTACCATTGCCTACCCATATGGTTCTTAGGTTGCTAGGAGACTGTAGGTCTCTCCTGTTCCAGGCCTTTCTCATGCCCATTCACCCTCTATTCCAGTATTCCTTAAATACCATTTTCCTCATGTCACCAATGTTCACACACCCTCCATGGTGTCCTACTATCTACCACATCAGAGAAATCAAATGCTTTACAAGATAAAAAGATTAGAAATTATCTATTCCAACATTTTTCTTTTATTGAAAAGAAACAAGAAACACAGGGGATTGAGATGACACAGATTTGGAAATAAAACCCCAGGCTTTGGAAGCCTAATTCCATGCTTTGCGTACCACTATATCACCATTCTTTGAGGGAAGAATTGCATGACTTTCAAGACCTTCCACCATCTCACCCAACTATATCAGGCTGTTTACACAACTCCTTGGGGTACCATTTATAATGTGGTTTATGGAGTTATGCTCAAGGGCCACCATTCATACAGGAGTACATACTACTATATACTCCACATGGACAGCAAAGTGAACAGTGTCCCTGGCATTGTGCAATGGGGCAATACCTTATCACTCTGGGCTTCTTTATTTCCCACTGCTTTACACTTCCTCGACCCTACCCAAAGCTCAATGAAATTCTTCCTACCTTTAAAGCTCAATGAAATTCTTCTCTCCTCTAGGAATTCACTTCTTTCTTAGAGGTCTTTATGTGTATGAACTACTAGTTATTTCTAGTGTAGAATAGGTCAGTTCTGGGCTATAAGAAGCCTGAATTTAAATCAGAAAACTTTATTCTAATCCCAGGTCTTCAGCCTACTGGCTGTGTGATCTTTAAGTCGACTATCTTCATGAAGCTGTTTTTAATCTATGAATTGGGTATAGTAATATCTGTTTTATGTCACAGAGTCAGCATCAGGTGAGCAAATGTATGTGTGGTTTGGATGCTACAGGGTATGATATAAATGGAAGTTTATACACATAGTGTAATGCACACTGTAATATAACATAGTCCTTACTGATACAGTTATTGCTACTGTATGTTTTGGTTTATTAGCTAGAATATGGTTACTGGATTATCAGCTCTTTGAGGAAAGAAATGACATTTTATATTTTTTTTCTCTCCCTTTAAGTGAGTGTAGCATAAATCTGTTTGAAAACCATGCACGAACACATTTGTGTTTCTAAGGGGGCGGGGAGGACTTTAAAAATAAGATGCAGATATAGGGAAAATCTCAAAGTGTGCTTCTTTACATGTGTTAAGTGACCTATGGGCAAACTAAGTAGCACATAAGTTAGAAATGCGAGGCGGCCAAAGAAACTCCTGTTTCTGCCAAACATCATCACGAGTTCTTTTGCAAAATAATTCGTCACATGGGCATGTGACAAAAATCTCTTCCTGTGTTTGCTCATAAGAAAAGATGCAGGGGAGTTAGTGCTTGGAAACAAGTAGTGGGAGGCATTTAGGGCTTTTCTTTGTTAAGTCATAGTTATTGGGACTTCCAGGCACAGAGGACCTAAAATTAGTCCCAGTTTTATTTTTTGTTTGTTTGTTTGCTTTGACACCTTTGCTTTTTGCTACAACCTGGAGAAGTGAGTCCCTTTGAGAATTTCTTAGACCCCCAGCAATACTAGTGAGATAGAGAATCTCAGAGTTGAAGGGGGTTTGGGTATGGGAAAGGGAAATAGCTTGGTTTCTCCAACTTATAATTGTAATGCCGAGGACTGAGCTAGGTATTCCCTCCCGAGGCTGGGAAGCATGCAGCCTGAGACAGAATTCCCATCAGCCACTTGCTCTAAGTAGAACAAGCAGCGATTTCCCATCTGTGGTTTGGGGCTATTGATTCTCCTTGAGCTTTTAGAAGGGATTTGAGTAATTTTCCTTTTTTTTTATCCCTTGCTAAGGATCAGTCATTTTTGTCCATATTCATGTTGTAGTTTATTTTTCTTTTCTAAAGAAAGCATACCACAGGAATTCCAATTCAATCACCAAAATTGTATTCTAGAGCATTGGTATAAGCTGCAAAAACCAGTGGGAGGTTTAAGAAGATTTTTATTAGGAGCAAGATTTTCATACTAGATCTTGAATGCTTTCTAAAACTTATTAACCTAATGTGATTATTCTCAGATATTTCATGTAGAGAGTTGGTTGCTTGTAATAAAGCAAATCCTTTCTGTAAATAGAGGTATAAAAGAAAATGCACATGTTGTTCTAAAGTAAAATCGAAAGCAAGATTATACCATTTTCATTAAACCTTCTTAAATATGGGTTGGCTAAAAAAAGCATTCCTTACTTGCATTAAATCATGCCATATTTCTTTTGCCAAAGGAGTGTTTCTATTTTTTTTAGGATTGCGTGTATGTTCTATGTCATTCCACTCTCTGGTCCTCTAACTGTAAAATAACAGGTTGCTCTAGAATCTGGAATTCAGGAGGGGAAATGAATTTGATACCAAGCAATCTTATGTATTATATTTTAACGCATTTAAAATATTATTCTAAAAAGGAATTCATGGCCCAAAGAGTTTAAGAACCTCAGCCCTGCATTTCTTTACAACTAATACTAAAATTCTTCCATCAAATAAAATCAGAATATATACTCCATTGCTTTTATTGGAGACTATTATTAAACATTTTGTTTTCCATAACTGACCTTTCACTTCAAAATATGTTCAAAATCTTACCCTTACTCTCCACAGTGTTTCTGGAGTGATCCCGATCATCGTTTTAGCTTCTTTTAATAACAGTATTTTTCTGTCGTGGTTCAAGCATCGGGGTAGAATGGAAGAGTCCTGACATTGTGAGGACTTAGAGCCACATGCTTTATAAGTAAAGCAGAGTTGAGCCCAAACACAAGGCATAAAGTTATTATCTCATGAGTTCATTTGAGGTGATACTTGTGTAGAAACCCAGCCTTCTTAAAATAGCAAATGTAACTCAGAAAAATGTGTGTAACTGTTCTGTTCACAGTAATTACCAGGGCTTTTCTAAATCCACAGATTCCTAGGTCTGTACAATTAATTAACCTCCTCTCCCATCTCGTGATTATATATATTTTCATTATGATCAAATGAAAGGAATTTGTCCAAGGTCACATATTAAGTTTGGTATGCGACTCTGACTGTCATTTTTTAACTACCTTTGTATTCATACTGAACACTGACTGACAGGTGATCCCCAATCATCTGCCCCAATCTCTTCTGTCGAATAAGCAGGAGTTCGGGCAAGAAAGCACACCTTGGCATGACCAACAAAGGAAGAGAGAGGGAAAGCCTGGGGGTTCACTGACTCACTCACTCATCCAGCACGTGTGTATTGCTCACCCAGATTCAGGGATGGCTGAGCGAGAGCCACACCCTGCCCTCGTGGAATGAGTGTGGGGACAGGCAATGAGCAAGAAAATGAAGAGAGGTGCTATCCCAGGTCAGGAAGAGAGAGGTGTTAACATTCAGGCAGAGGACGAGTGATAAAAAATGAAGAAGGATAAATGAAAGAGCATTCTTGGAGGAGAGTTATTTCCGATAGGATGGCCATAAGAGGCCTTTCTGTGATGGTGAAATTTGGGCCACGGCTCATATGAAGTGTGAAACTCTGGGAGAAGGGAGTTTTCAGCAGGGAGAATGGCAGGTCGAATGGCCTTGAGAGGGACATGAGCTGAAGGTTTAGGAGAACAGCAAGAAAGCCTCTCAAGGCTGTATAACGTGGTGTTTGAATTGGGACGAGGCTTTGGCATCATTTTGTGTCCTAGCCCCACAAGGTAGGACTTTGGACAAGTCAATTCATCGCTGTAGGCATCAGTTTCCCTACCTAGAAAATGGGGCACAATTGTCCATCTCACAGTGTAATTGTGAGGTTGAATGGAACAATCTGCATGTGGTTTAGTGTCTGGTCTGCAGCAGAGACTCAGTACATTTAGTTCCTAGTGCTGTTAAGTATCTGGCTGTGGTCAAACTGAGATGAGTA